AACGAAGGTAGCGAAGGATTATTGCAAACTGTTCAGGTAATCCATGACACAGTTCCTAAAACGTTTTGAAAATGAAACGTGAATTAAGTTCCAAAATATCGTTTACAAAATCAGCAAGGTCTCCCTCCGCCGCCCAAATTACAGAAATCAATCCCTCAGTGCTATTAAAATTCAGCTATACACGAAGCTTAGCAAGTAATTTTCTATTTTGAAATTTATGTCTCTGCTTATATACATACGCTGTCTAAAAACCATCAAAATTATACTTTTTTAGCCTCGCAACTCCGCCCAGCAAAAAAGTCCAAAAAATGAGTGGCACGAGCTATAAGCAGAACCTGTAATTGTAGCCTGGCAACTGGTTCTTACAGTCACTGATGCAGTTCTCAGCACCACATAAAATGCCAGAATCCCAAAAAGGCTGACCACAGATTCAAGATTACACTTCCACAAAAAAGAAATCTGGGCCCTGTCATAATTTGCATTTCTTTCAACTAATTTTCCGTATAATTTCATTTCCCTAATGAAGCTGACAGTTTTTGCTGGCTGATAGTGAAGGAAGCTGTTCTAGAAGCAAAGAAGGGCTGCGCTAACTACTTGGCAAGACAACAGAAGATGGAGCGACGGGGCTAGTGAGTTTCCCAATACACAGTCCCTAATTTCACCTACAGATTTTCAAATACAAATTTTTGCCACAAATACTGAATAAGGAAAAAATTAAGATAGTGCTTGATGAAAAAAAAAAAAAAATACTCTTTCGGAAAGAGACAACTTCATCGATAATATTTGTCTTTTGCCATCTTCATCTCCTTTATACATATGCCAAGGTAAACTTCCCCTGAAATTTTGTCCAAAAAGACCATATCTTCTTTAGCTTTACTTTTTTTGGTTTTGCAGTACAATAAATTTATTCAACAAGCAATACCTACATTCACGCTACACATGTCTGGCTAAAAATCGCCCTAGCAATTTCAGTCTTATTCAAAATAAAATTATTCAAAATAAAAGTGTTCCAGTAACTTTATCAAATATTTCTTATAAACTGCCACGAAAAAAAAGACTGTAAATACGGTCTTAACTTTCGAATTGCCTTCGCAAACTCAAAATAGCCAGAAAATTTCTCTTGCTCGATATGTTGATATGTCACGATTTAAGGGATACGGGAGTAGTGTAATGAAGAGGTTCTGTTTCCTCTCGACGGCACAAATCCTTTCCTAAATCCGGTTCTGGCTGCGAAAGAAACATTCTACGTTCATTAGTAGCGGTACCTGAGGAAATATAAGAGGACGTATAGAAGAGATTCTAAATCATCTCGCCTCGATCCTACTGTGCCCAACTGTCGGTTTAACGATGCGAAATATGGGGAGCCATGAAACTCCTAAAAAATTTTTAATACGAAACACTTAACATATCCTAACACATGTACAATGCAAGAAAGACTGGCTAGGAATACTTTTTTTTCAAAGGTTTTCCTGTGAAGAAAGAAAGGTGCCGTGTTTGCCAGGCACCACAGTGTACTTCCTTTAACACAGTGAAGAGCTGTCCTTGCACTGGGGCACGCCTCTGCGCTACTGATGCAAATGGTGCACTACCTGGTGTCCTTCTAAAGTGCACTACCTGGTGTCCTTTTTTGGTTTTCACGAAAATGTCACTCTATCTCCCTAAATTTACCAAGGCTTAGCCCGTTTCGTCACAATGTCTATATCCTCCATAATTCCGTGCAGTTAAAACAGCATGTACCAAGGAAGTTTTTGTCCAAGAAAAATTTATTGCATAATATTTTAAATATTTGTTTGGCTGTTACATTTCAAAGCCTCAAAAGCTTCCCCCATTCATTTTTTACAAGCGCTGGTGAAGACAGTCAAAAAAAGTGGCCCAAATGATAGCATGCTGTTAGTCACTGCTTTCTTGCCCTGGGATGTACCAGTACGCACAATGAACTTTGGACAAACAGGAGTGGATAAAATTTGAATGAGAAAAACCTGAGCGGGATGCAAAGAGATCGAAAAAGGTGCTGAGATTCGATTTCGAGTCGGCAATGTGAGCTAGGAAAAGAGCTGGACTGGTCTTGCGGCAAGAGCAATAGATGAACAAAACGGATTATTGAATGGTAACTACGCAAAGTTAAAAAACACAAAGAAGGCTATCTGGCGATAGAGACAAATAAACAAGATAGCTAATCAAAGTATAATGTCGTCATAGAAGTTTTATTCAGTTTCTAGAATCGCAAAAAAAAAAAAAAAAAAAACAAACACTGAACAAGGCTTACTTGATTTTCTCGATAGCTAACATGTTGCGCAGGCTGACGATCTGAATGATAACAAAATGCATATTTCATATTGATTATGAAAACCATACAAGAACTGTGTTCAACGCCCATAACAAAATTATCCGGCTAAAATACAACAAATTTTAATTATGTTTTTATAAATTGATAGGCAGGGCTGGTGTAGTGGCAGCAAGTTGATCCGGCCAGACTGAAGAACGATTCTGCAACGATTCGCTAATTTGTTCTATTAGCAGAATGACAGAAGAGAGTCAGAATAGCCATCGGCTTACTTCAGGACCGTGTGAAGAGGCGCTAGTAGTATGTTACCGTTCGGGCTACTTTTGAATGCCTCTATTTCATTTGAAGTACGGACGGAGCTTTGTTTCTTCCTTTACAGGCAAACTAGAAAAATAACAAAAATGTTGCCATGGCAGAGGCAATGACAATTCTAGGAAAAGAGCAAAATTCCTTTCGGAAAAACACCGCGAAGACTAAAAAAAGATCACAGCAGGATGTAAGAAGAAAGTCCGATAAAATTATCGTTTCTCTTTAGAATGAAGAATTCAGTAAAAGAGGGCCAAGATCACCAGCAAGCTGATCGTAATACGATGAAGCCAGCATTCTAAAAGCATGAGAGTAAAAAGCTATCACTTTTGAAAAATTCAAAAAACATATTAAACAAAAAGTCACACACACACACACACACACCCGCCGATGCGACTATGTGTTCTGTGCAATTCTGCGTAGCCAGCGATGGCTGTTAAGAACATTGTCTTAAAGTTTCAGCTCCTTAGTTCTTGTGATTTCCGAGCTATTAATTTTGGCGCCAAAACATTCACATACCCGCATATGCAATCTGAACTTACATGAATGCTGAATTTAAATTTGCTGGGTCCGGCATCGATGAGAAATATTATCCTAAAATTTAAGCTTTCTAGCTTTCACGGTTCCCGGATTGAAAACGTGAGATAAAACGCAGCTAGGCGCGCACACACACACACACACACACACACACAACACACACACAACACACACACACAAACACAGGGACGTGACAACATGTGTCTTGTGCAGCTATTAAATGTATAAAAAAGCAAAAGAAAAAAAAATTTGCAGAACGCACCGTTATATTGCAGTGTACGAAGCCTGTCTCATGCAAGCATTGAATCCTTTCGATCATTTGATCAGCTAGCATTAGCACTGTTTTCATAGTGAAACGACGCTCGCAATAACCGAACAACTCTTCCAGTGATGGCCCCATAAGCTCCATAACTAACGCATTGTATCCACTGACCGTTCCATACCTGTACAAACAGAGTTCCGTCTTTATTCTGTCATTTTTATCAGCTAATGCTTCATCATCTTTCTTCTCCTCGATGCTGATGCAGCTAGCAAACGCTTCTCCTCCTCCCCTCTCCCACCTCCACACAATCCCATGTAACCCACCCGGACGGATTCTCGGCAACCTATCCTGTGTTCCTTTAACAATGTATGAATACCAATCATTCCACAGGTCTTCTGTTGTCTCCCATTCCTGTCACATGGCAAACCCGAGTGAACTGTTAATATCGCTCATAGTAGATCGGGACAAAAACGCTTCAACGGAAATGCGCTGCAACTTGCTGAAATCCTCTACGCGTCATCCCATGGCTCATTCGACTACAGAGTTAACGATTTCTCCACTTAAGCCAGTGATCGTTATATGTTTATAATGTTTTGAAAGGAAGGAAAAAAACCTTGACCAATGAACGCGCGGAACACCATTCCCACGAAGGCATTTATATACTGCGTGTTCATGTTCTAAACTGCCCAAATCCTGTAATTCATTAATACTCACAAAAACATTTTTGCCCTCACTGCATGCATACATTAAAAACAGATTTTGACGGAAGCATGCCTATGCCTGCGTATTCTGTGTGTGTGTGTGTATGTGCGTGTATGTTGCCATGCGCATGTGGTGCATGTATGTTACAATAATTAAGCCCAAACTGTAAAAGCTGGGAAATATTATGATCGGA